GGCTTTTTACATTTCATTCGAAGTTATAAGTCAAGGTCGATGAACTTAGCCTAACATGGGATCATCACATTGATCATCCTACCGGCGTTTTGGTATTCTTGGCGTGAAAATAAAGACAAAGCCAAATCCCTTCCGTATTTATTGTCTGTGAGAAGCGGAAACGCTCATAATATAGCAAAAATGTCACAAATAATAACAGCAACCACTCGCTGGCTAAAATAATAACAGCAACCACACGCTGGCTAGAATGTCGATGGCTTCCTTATAGGAACTGTAGGAATTTTGAGGGCAGCCCGTGTACAATTTAAAGATTTCAAATTCAGTCCCCAGGCGTGCGCGGATCTCACATACGGCCTCACAAAAACTTTTTGGCGGGAAAACTGTCAACTCGGAAATCAGAAAAACTGGAAAGTGAAATTTCGACGTTTTCTCCCCTGTCCAAGTACCACGTAATTGCACAATTAACTTCCTGAACTTCCAGAACCAGTATGTTACAAATCCTACCTACTGGGATTCCACGCAATCTTATTACAACACGAAATACTACAAAAACGCATAATCGCACTGGCTCGCCTAGTCCGCGTTGCCAACGATTTTATTTGCGTAGAGCGACATGAAATACATGAACCACAAACCGAAAACAAGCCCAGCCAGTTGCAGCACCGTAACAATGATGCTTTCACGAAGATTGCTGTTTATTAATGCACTCATTGCTTCACGTATTTCTGGAATCTGAAAGCACGGGGAATTCATAGTCAGGAGAATTAGTAGTTCCTTGAAATCATGCAGTTGTAAATTTTATTGTTAGTAATAGAAAATGCCGTTACACCGTGCCATGCCAGACAAAAACCCTTAAAATTTCGAATCTGTGCATAGCTGTTCCTGGAAAAGGTCGAAGATTCGGACCGGTGGTAGAATAATCGATTCCCCATTCGTTTCTAGAACTGGCACATTCCGAGGAGTCAGATCCGCCATCAGCTTGCTTCCACACAACCTTTCAAAGAGGAAGCTGTAGACAGACGTGTCAAT